AAGCATTGCATGGTAGCTCTACCCAGTGAAAATATGCTGAAGCTACATGCTATGTGGATGTTCATTATAAAGGCACAGCATTTGCTCTTCAGCTGGATCTTTGAAAGTAAGAGAAGTTCTCGGCAAGGATCTAGAAATCCTATTGGGGCAAAGAAATCCACTTTTCTTTTCAAATGCTGCATCACAGTGTCCCTGGCCTTGTATAGATGTGGGGTGAAGAGCATAATAATAGTGTTTTCCCTGCCTGTTTGGATGGTCCCGCTAAAAGGACAGTGCAAGCACCCCTATTCCTCCTGCACTCCACTGCACATCACACAGCACAATCCTTTCTTGAGCTCTCCAAGGAATGATGCAACTCGGCACCATGCCCTGTATAGGGCTGTGACTATACGCTGCAATCTAGCTCTTTATTGGACACTGCTCCAAATTAGGCAAAGACTCTTCCAAGGTGGCTTGTTTGTTTAAGCTGAACTTTAACAGTCCAGTCCTGTAGTGGTTAATAATGTGAAAGCACTGCTATCCTATTTGCTAGATGTGTTGGCCTTTTCATTAGGCACTAATCTGAGCCTGCCAATTGGCTACAAACAAGAGTAGCTAACACCTGGGTGCTGACATACCGCAACTTTAAAAGCCCCTCTTTGACTTTGGCTCCAATGCTGGGCTACTTCTGGAGCTTCCTTGTACCTCGTCACACCCTCAGGCTGCCCTCTAAGAGACCATCTCCAGAAGCAAGAAGGCTGATTAAAATGCAGACTTTTCCTCACCAGCCCTATATTAGGCCATCTGCTGTACAGTTAGAGTGAGTAGTACAAACATTCCTATGATCTATTATGGGAAAATAACCAATGATGGGGTTTTTTGTTGTTAGATATATGTGCAATCTAGAATGTGTTTTTTCTATCCTCCTCTCAAAGTCACATCTAACTTGGTGAAGGCTGGGGAGGAGAGACTCAATGGACTGCTCAATTTAACTCTCTTATGCCCCTGACCTCTCCCTTTATTCTGCTGGGAAAATGGGCAAGTATGATCCACTGAAGTCAGCTATCTAGGAGATATTTGGGTCTCACGACCAAGAAGGGCTCTCTGTGGTTGACCAGTTCATAGAGAGCAGAGCTGCTCAAAATATTTCAATATAAATGATTTTCTTGAAAAAATGGCCTTTTTTTTTTTGGCTTGTTCAAATGTTTTTGTGGAAACACTGCTTACCTTGAATTTTTTTTTAAATATTTTATACAACATTTTTCATGTTTTCCTTTTCATTTTTTCCTGACCTCTTTTTTTTCTCCTGTTTCCTTGTTTTCCTCTTCCCCTTCCCAGTAATTTTGGAAAACTAATTTACTTTTTCACAATGACTGGGAGGAGAGAAGGAAAGAAAAAAATTTAAATATATATATATATATATATATATATATATATATAGTTTTTAAAATAAAAAAAAAGGAAAACAATTAAAATCTATTAAAATGGGTTCAAAATGAAAATAACTTTAGAATATTGACATTTTTCATAAAATAGTTGACCATCTCACAGAGATAGCATTCCTGGCCATAGGCAACACCTACAGCAGGGGGTTCTCAAACTGGGGGTTGTGACGTTTCAGGGGGTCAAATGTTATTACTTGGGGGTTGCAAGCTGTCAGCCTCCACCTCAAATCCTGCTTCACCTTCAGCATTTATAAGAGGGTGAAATATAAAAAAAAATGTGTTTTTAATTTATAAGTGGGGGGGTCACACTCAGAAGCTTGTTGTGTGAAAGGGGTCACCAATACAAAAGTCTGAGAATCACAGATGTACAGAATTGTTCAGTCAGTTTTTTGTGTTCATACGGTCACTAATCCTACATCACAAGTTACTTGCACATAGAAAATGACTTATAGGCCAAGAGGATAAAAACTGCAGGCTTTCCAAAGTGCATTGATGAATTATATGTGCACCCATTGAAATGATAACCTATTACCATCCACTTCTTACTATTCTGCAGCTTTGTTTACCCATTGGTTATCCACAAAAGAGTCTGGTCACAAGCACCTGATCTAAATGCTGAGCACTAACTTTTATGACTTCTATTCTTCTTGAACTCTTTCTGTTAGAATAGTCTTGTTATTTTGAGGGCATTTCAATGCTGAGGTGACACATCCATGCATCTGATGAGCTGTAATGAAACACCTCATCTTAGGTGTGGAGCCATCACCAGGCATCTGTTCTCTCTGTCTGGTTATCTTAGGCTTTTTTAACATACCAGTCACTGTGATATCTAGTTAAATTCAAACAGATGCTGTGAACAAAATAATGCTCTATTTGTTTTAAGGGGACTTCTGGCTTATTTTACAATGCTTGCTGCCTGTTAAACATGCATGGAAAATAGCAGGGTGTGGGAAATAATCATCATTTTTTGTAGGATTGAGAGGATATAATAGGTAGAGATACTACAGAGTTATCTTCTGTTTCTTTAGCAGGATTCTGAAATGGCAGTGTGCTCTCATTTCAAGGGTAAACCTAAGTCTGATGGACAAGAGCTTGTTTTACCTCACTCACTGTAGCTACTTGTGCGGTGTTTTATCTCCATCTTACCACTTATTCACCCCCAATGCTTCATCCTATTCATATTCTGGTGGATGTAGAAGCCCAACTTTTCAAAGTCAAATATGGTCAACGGGTCACAGACATTTACAAATGCTTAACTTGTTGCCTGCAATTTGTGAGCAAGCTTAACTGGATACCTGAGCAAAATTTCTATGAGCACTTTGGCTATCTGCACGTGTATGGTACATGTATGCCTGTGCAGAGTCCTTACTTTGATAATCTGGACCAGAATCTACAACTTGGAGTGTGAACCTCATGAACGGAGAACAGCATAAACAACTACTGTCTCCCTCCACTGCCTGCTTTGGAAATGGTCTTCTCCAAGCAAAGCATAAATCTCTTCATGTATCTGAGGTGTCTCCTTCCCCAGAGTCCATGTATTAGAGATGCCATCAGCCTATAAACATCACTGCACTCCCTGTATTCTGTTGGAGAGCAGGACTGGCAATATGACTCAACTCACCCTAAAACCTCATTCTTCAAGGTCCCCTGAGAAGGAAGTGTTGTACTTCCCAAAATGAAGCTGGAAATGAGGAATGGATGGTGCTACACAAGTGGTTACACAGGTAGAAAAGGAAGAATCCCATTATGCCAATAATTTTATAGTGGCAGATCTTTCTGGCTGTAAAGCTCCTGTTAAACGTCAGTCCTTATCAAGAAGCCTGAAGTGTTTTTGAAATATGATTTCACTACTGTCCAGCTTTATGGTCCAGTGGGTAGTGCCTTGCAGTATCACATGAAAAAAAAAGGGTAACCTTTTTGGCTTGCTTCCCTATGCTAGAATGGGTCTGTGAGTGTTTTAAAGGCATTATGCTTAATATTTAGGATAGGGTGTCTCATTATTCAACAGTACCTCTTCTGGACAATAAAGGACTGACACCAACAGGCTCAAAAGAAAGACTGAAAAATAATGACTGTGACAGACAGTGGAGAGGACTTAACTATGCATCTAGGTAAGGCTTTGAAACAAGTCAATCTCCGATTTTGTTTTAGTGTCAGAGGGAAGCATAGTATTAACAAGGTTTTATTTTTGTTTGCTTGGTGTGTAGATTGATTTTTGCTATTTTCCTTTCCGCAAAGGCATTCAAAGAAATTAATAAAAAATCTTGTCAGTACATCCTAAAGCATGAAGCTGTGAATAGCACTCACTGTGCTGCTGACCCAGATTGGGCTCTGCAGTATCAGTCAGTGATTCAAAAACGGAAGTCTAGGTAGGAGATTGAATGAATCTTTTATCGCAGAGACCTACTTACATGTCCTCGAAAATTTTGAAAAATATTCTGCTTGAACACAGTTCTGCCAGAACACACACTTCTCACACACAGATTGGCTTTCTTTCCCCTGTATATGATCACAAACAATATTTACCTATGGATCGTTGTTGTTTTTGGTTCATGTCCTCTTGATACTTATTTATTATCCAATGTCCTAATTCTCTCTTTCTGGTGACATCCCAATCATTCTGCTCCCCTCTGTCCATTCTCAAGGCCATAAATTATAGCCCCTCATTGATAACTTGGGATGGGATCACACCTGATCATATGCTGCAGAACCGTTCATTCAGATTCTGAAACAGTACTTGGTTTCATCACATTCACACCGCTTATTATTCAGCCTGGCCCTGATTCAGCAAGATACTTACATACATTCTTAAAGTTGAGGCATGTGCTTATGTACCTTACTAAATGGGGGCCTATCCACAAACATTTATGTGGACATATTTTTGTTCACACCAATGCCTGGAGAATGGCTGTTTGTACCAATACATGTATCCACATGTGAACAGAAATAGACATTGTTCGTTATTCTCTATTCATTCATTATTATTTCCTGTCTTCTTCTTAAAATGTGTTGCCCAGTCAGGGAGTAGAAACAATACCATGTGATTCTCGTGACCAATCACATGCCACAGACAATGAACAGTGCATAATCAAAATGAACATTTTTCACCCACATTCTAGACTGAAATCTGTCTGTACACACTATTCAGTCAGTACTTCCATACAACAAGTAAATGCACATGCATAAATCAGGATTGGATTGAGAAGAGAAAAAATGGATACATTAATGAGTTTATTTAATTCAGTCAACTCTACCTCACTACTATTGCTTGTCTGTATTACAGTAGCAGCTTGAGGCCCAAACCAATATTGGGACATCATTGTGCTAAGTGCTCTATATGCACATGATAAGCACACTCAGCCTTCCTATTCTGGAATGAGGAACAGAGCCTAAGTCTTCCATGGTTTCATCCTCTACAGACTACTTATTTTGCTTTTCATTTGGCAGCTGTAACATCTAAACCCCACCTGTTCAGACATGGTATAAACCTGAGATTCTGATCCATCCTTTATAGGAGACCTCTCTTTCAAGCAGGAGCCCAGGGCCATTATAGGCAGGAGAAAATATCCTACTTACCCATTTCTGGACTGTGGGGTTCCAGCTTCTGAATCATCTCTCTCTTCTTGATGTGATGGTATGGTGCTTGAAAGATGGTCTGGGGTCTCCTCCTTGAGCTTCTCCATCTCCCAATCCTCCTGTGATATGGGGGACCGTTGAAGATATGTAGATCTCCCATAAACTGATGGCTTTGAGCTGTGGAAAGAGCCATCTTCGTATCCATTTCTTGAATGTGTGACCAGCTCCACCAGTTCTACTGAGACACAGAGGAGCAAAAGCTTCACTATCATTATGGCTTTTCCTAACCAGTCACACCTGCCTCTCATTCTCCTCCCTGAAGCTCAGACTGAATTCCTTCTGGAATGCCCTTGTAATATTTTTAAGTTAAGACTTGGAAGAGGGAAAAAAAGGTTTTGTAACAAAGAGCGGAAAAAGCTTTCAACCCTCCCAGTGACTGTGGAAATGTCAGAGGCCATCAAACAATGTGAGGCTGGGTTCCTGTGTGGAACTCAAAAGACTGAGAGAGGGGAGAAAAGAAGTGGGGGAAGGGTCATAGTTTATTCAAGGAACTTCTGATTTTGGCTGCCTTCTAATCTTGTCTGTGAACAGGAATTTAGTCTTTATCAGCTGCCTTCTCTCTGGGGCACAGGAAAAGGATGTTAGCTTTAAAGGAAAGGAAAAGAAAGAAATGAAAATATTGAGCGATGTAGCAGATTTCCAGTGTGGTGTTCCCAAGCCCAAGAATATGTCACAAACCAACCTGCTATAGCATCTGCTCACATATTACGGCTATGATTTAAAGGATGGAAGGCACTGGTTATAATTTTTAGCATAGTTATAGTACATATTACAAGCTATTACTGTGCCCACCTCTGGGTTGGATGGTATTCTCAGAATGCAATGATAAGAGAGCCTGGGTAAATAGATATTAAGGGATTTGTAGAGATTTCTTTCCATAGTTTGGATGGGATTTTCAAAAATATTCACTGTTAGTCTATCCCTCCCCCCCTTGAAGTCCACAGGCATTTTACATCAGAGTTATGCCAATGTTAAACACTTCTGAAAATCCCAGTTTGGGTACCCTCTCTTTCCACTTCCTTTGTGTGTGGAACCTATATGATGAGTTGCCATTAGTAAAGTATCAATATTTGCCAACAGCTACCACACAGTAGAAACTGAGATCCTGACACATTTCACCCTACTTAGAAAAGGAAACATCTGTGGCATCTTGAATATCACTGTATCGTAACTATTGGCAAATGTTGATTTTAATGGTAATCACTATGCGGTTTCTATTGTTACTCTATAGGATGCCTCTCTTGCCTCACTGTCTTGCAGTATGTAACACTCTCATGTGTTTGAGGATAGCGTTTTTAGGAAAGACTCTTCATAAATTAAGAGACTAGTGCTCTGGTGTATATTTGGATGCATAATTGTTAGGTCATGCACTGAATTCATACGCAGTGTGAATGGAGGATACACATGCAAGAATGCTGCATGTCCTTCAGACTGTGGAGTGTGAACGTGTTCAAACTATTCCAAAGCACCTTAAAGGTAGGGAGCGTAGAGTCCTAATTCTACCCCCAGCCTTTCTGATGGCATTAGAAGGTTTCACCATTGAAATTAGTGGAGTTGCAACCCTTAGGGCTGAATTTGGGCCTCTCTCTCTTTTTGACTTCCTGCCTTTCTATTTGACAACAGTAACCAGATGAAGGAGGAAATACCAGTTTCTGCCTAATGTCAGAGTCTACAGTAGACTTGAGCGCTGTCCAGCCAACAGCAACTGAGCAACCAAGAGGTAAGTGGTGCAAAACAGACTTGAGAAAATATATCTCCAGGGAGAGAATGTGTGCCCATTATAGTCACCTCTCCAGAGACATGAAACCACAAGATAAGGCTCTGGCTCTGCAAATCTAAAAGTAATGAGCATCTTCCTTCTGTTTCCTTCCTGTCTTTCTGTTGTATTTCATGTTTGAGTGCATCCCATTATGATACACCTTACTCTCAATGTGTGACTATTTAATGAGAGATGATCCAGATACAAATGTACTTGTATTACAAGTAACTGTCAGTGTTCAAATTACTTTGTACACCTTTAACCTGTTCAATATGTTTGTGTGTCAGCTGAATCCCTTCACTGACAAAAAACTGAACCAAACATGAAGAGTCTTAAAAACAAAGCTGCTATAATAACATGGGTTCTAAAGGAGAAATTTTGGGCTACAGATAATAATTACTGTTCCAATCAATACATACTTCCAAACCCCATTAAGCTCATCTTTCATCACATATCTTTCCATTCAGTCTTGTCTCATCTATTCAGTCCTTATCCTCAATCAGATTAGACATATCACATGTAGAGTATATGGCAGTATTTCTGTGTCCTATGACTGTTTTTGGAGTGTCTAGGCCTCACCTCTCTTTTGGGTATTAGAATTTATTTTATGCAGCTTTTAAGATATGCTGCTTAGAAATGAAGCAGCCAAAATATACAGATTACACATCCATTTGCACATTAATAATGAAACACATTTTTTTAATATGAATGAAAAGTGCTAAAATATTGACTATCCTGGAGACTGCATCTTCTATCTATGGGCCTAGTACAGCAAGAACAGCTGCAATGTATAAAGGGTATGTATAAATTATTAAAAGGTGCACCCTTACTAAACAAAACTTAATACTAACCCTGTCTTAGTACTACTGTCCTGATTTTTGGGCCTCTAGATAACATACTCACCTGCTACTCTCTATTTCCAGCAACTAACCCATTGGTTAACTGGGCTGTCAATTCTATTTTCTCCCTACTCTAGAGGAGCAGGTAGGAGCCCCCATTTTGGAACATCATACTTGCAAACTTTGCCTACACTGACATTTCAGAAGCAGCCCAGTGGAACCATGTATAGGGGCTGAAGAGTAGTTCAGTCTCCATACCTATTCATTCCTTGGGTTTGCTGATCAGTCTGCCACAAGGACAGCCATTGTGAAGGTGGCTTTTATGATAAGAACACCTGTCCACCAAGGGCTGGACTGATACCAACTAATTTCACAAAGGCCATCTAACATCCATTGAATGGCTCTTGGTCACTACCCAACTGAGCCAGACTGAACTGTCATCCTACCTGAAATGTTAGCTTTAACCACATTTATAGAATGTGTGTATCACTGGTGGGGGGAGAGAGAGAAGGGTATGTGATAAAAATCTGATTTAAAATGCATTTTGAAAAATGATTTGGAAATAGGTTTTACTCCACAAATGTATTTCAGGGCAATGTTCTGAAGCACATCAGCAAGCAACTTGATAACTAGAACATGTGGAATCTTTAGGTGAGTTTCAGGACTATTTTTCAGGGGTTCCTGGTACCTCTCAGATGAGCCTCTCCACCATGGTTTTACTGCAATGGCATCTCCATTTCAGGAATTGACTTTCAGTTGGTGATCAATGTTTGCTCTTCCCTGTTTGGTCCTGATCATTAGCAACAATTCCTGTGCTCTTACCACCTAAAATGCTTCAATCAATATAGAATTTCAGGTTAGGAGCAACTATCACATACAGCTACACCAGACTTAACTATACAACCATTCATTCTGCACATAGCTTTCATAATTTTTCTTAGCATGCTTGTTAGTTACTACATCTATTTGTGTTTATCCAAGATCTTCCTTCCTCCCAGACTACCTTGCACCTGTAGTGAGGACATAATGTTCCATAATCATAATCAGAAGTACTTGATTAGTTCTTCAGCATTGGGTGTAACCTAGAACAGTGGTTTGGAATCCCCTTGGAACTGGGTAAGATCTATGATGAAACATCTCACTTTGGCCACTTTTTTTACTCCTCGGACTGGGAAACCATCACTACAGGCCAATATGAGGTGTGTGTCTCACCACCCACAGAGGCAAACCTCTGCCTAAGAGGTTGTCTGCATGGGAAAATTGATCAGAGTAGCTATTGTGGAATAAGCTGTTCCATATTACCTCCCTCAATTCTGTAGATAAAAAGTCACTTTATTCCAGAATAATGAGTGTGCTTACGAAGTGCACTTATTATTCCACAATAAAGTATCTACATGGGGCACTATTCTGGGCTTTGTAACTATTTTGGGCTTTTCCCTGTGTAGAAAAGTTCTTAAATTAATTTTTCTTACTACACTTTCCCCTTCTTTGCCTTGTGCAAGGAAACGGATTTTCAAAATACTTGTGTTAATTAATCCATTTAAGTCTCAAACTCAGTATATAATTGTGGTTATAAACATGAATGGTTTAAACATTAAAAAAAGGGAGAGCCTTTAAAAAAAACTCAGAAACCGGGAATGGTTTTAAAGAGCATTTGTTGCTACAGAAACCTATGTTCTGGCTTTAGATGTCTGCACGTAGACTGAATAATTGAAGAGAATTTTATGTTCATCAGGAGGGATGGAGCATTAACAGAATAAATATTCATTGGATATTGATTTCCAAGCCTGGAAAACACTGCCTTGTTCTTTCTGTCTTATGATCAAGCACGCATGCGTGCACACACTCCGGATGCAATGACTGCTAGAAATGGGTAAACTGTTAACCTGTGCAGGTGGGCACCTACAGAGAACAACATGAGGAGTGCAACTTCTTTACTGCTCAGAGTGGGGACATAATCTTCCAGCAAGTCTTGCAGCACAGGAAACCATGAAATTGCAAATTCCTTAAGCTGCATTCTCACTTTGGTTTTATTGCTGAATTTCTCGTACAAATTTTGGAGGAAAGGTAGCATGAAGATCAATGAATGTTGCACTAACAATATTTTACTACTTGCAGGTATGCCCTATATAGTGCATAGTAGCTGGACCATTTATTATTTATTGCATGGGGAAAAAGAACTGATTTATTAATTAACTATGCAAAAAGCACATCAAATTTTAAACTGATTGTTAAGAGGTCCAATAGGATTCTTTCCCATGTAGATATGACCATTGTGCAGCTCTGTCCCACTTTTTCTCTAAGGTCTCTAGAATTGACTGCATCAGAGACAGGATCTCAGCTTATGCAGATCAATGGTATGATCCACTATGACAAAACCTATACTCTATTTATAAAAAGCCGCCTGGCCAAATGACATTTGTCAGCCACAAATGCCTGTGATTCTTTTTCCATGCCCATCCTTCAAACAAAATGTCACACACCATTGAACTATTTAGACACATCGTGACAAAAGAGATTTCACAGTAAAATACCACCCCATTGTTGGGTCTCTGTCACTCAATGCACCTTTGAACTGCAGAAGAGCCAGCCAGAAATGAAGATTATTTACTGTAACTGGAGGTTCTTTGAGATGTGTGGTCCCTATCAGTATTCCACAAGTGGGTAGGCATGCGTACCATGTGCATGAGTCTGG